CTCTCGGTCGGTCTGGCGGGCCCACGCGCCCTACAGTGAAAATCTCTCAAAAAAAAAAAAAAAAAAAAAACTGTTCCCTGTTGCTGGGAAGATGTATGGGAACAGAGCAGATTTTCATTTTCCATTCACGGCTTTTAACACAATGATCCCTTCACTCAGCGGCTGCCCCTTTAAACAGAAATCGCATCAAGCACTTGTCAGCTGAGGGTCTTCCTACAGCCCACCCAACAGTTCTTGCAATTCATCAAGGGTTAAACGCACATGACCAGCAGACCCGCAGATGGCGGAATGGTTGCATCGCTGGACTCCACGTAGTTGATAGCGGTTCAAGTCCTGGCCCTGGTGGCTTAAAACTCATGTGGGGTGTGTGAGCATGTGTGCCCAAGATCCCAAGAGGAGAAAGGGTTGCAGCATGGCCACCCTCCCAGGGAATGATTTCTCACTTTCTGTCTCTGACTCTGTCTCTCATTATTTTCAATGTGGGTAGGCTGAGAATTTTCCAAATCATTTTCTGCTCCTTTTTCTTTTTTTAATTTATTTTTAATTTATTTTACACATTCAATCACTATATATCACCTGTAAGTTGAATTTACTCCACATGAATACACTGCACGGCCGTCCAGCTGAGGGAACAAAACACATTATCCCAACAGATAATAACCTACTCCTCCGTTGAAGTCATCTCTTGCTTCTCACCTCTCACTGCCAGCACACAAGAGCAACCAGCTGCTCCCTGCACACCCAACCTAGCGATTCCCTCCGTCACATACGCAGTGCCGTGGCAGGCTCCACCGCTGCAGAAAGACCAGCACACACAGTTCGGCCATTCCTGCCACTTTGCCCCTCCAGTGGCCAGCCCTCTGCTGTGCCATGACACGTCCCTCCCTCCTCCTGCGCCCTCAGCAGAGTGGCCTGTCCTGCCCACGTTCTGTTCAGGATCACTTCAGATTCTCTAGGGAGAGCCAGGCTTTCTCTTCAGCCCTCCTCTTGGCTTCCCGAGTCCTCGCCAGCATGGTACTTAAAGGTCCACTTGTGGCGACGGAGGCTTTTTCTAGAACACACTGATGTCCGAGTGCTGGAGAAGAGAAGGGCCCGGCGCCCCTGAAGGTCCCCGTCCTCTGCTTCTATGTTGGATTTGGGCTCTCAGAGATTGGATGATTCATCCCCGCTGCTTTCTGCCCACCAGTACGCAGTCCACCAACTCAAATGCCACTCTCTTCCACAAACACCCTCACGGACACAGCCAGAAATATTGTGGGCATCCTTAGCCCAGGCAAGGTGACATATAAAATTAACCATCACTGAGCCATATGCTATGTGATACACAAGGGGTCTTCAAAAAGCTCATGGGGAATGTGTGTTAGGAAAAAAGTTAGGCATAGATTTCCGGTGGTAGAGGGGGTGTTGCACCAAAATAAACTCATGCCTCAACTCCATTTTTCGGGGAACTTGTGGAGTTCCAACCCCCATGTAATGTACACCTGATGTATATTCATGGAGGTCATTTAGACGCAGACAGGGTTGGCCCTACCCTAACGGAAAGGAAGGTGGATGCCGCACGGGCACTGTGGTTCAAATCCCGGCCCTGACAGTTTGGAGACACACCGGGGCATGTGTGTGCACATGCCCCAAATCCCAGTGGGAGGGGAGTGGAGCAGGGGTCATGGTGTGGCCACGGCCATCGGAAGGGGTTCCTCCTGTCTCTGTCTCTCTTTCTGTCCGTGTCTGTGCTGAGTGCACATGCACTCTGGCAACTTAAAAACAATCGGACATACAAATTCAGATGTTGGAGAAAGGGTTTCCGGATGCTGGCTCTCAGGGGAACTGTCCGTCTGCCGCCCTCCGTGGTAAACGCGCAGAGCTTCCCTCGCAGGTTTTTGGAAAGCAAGCTGCTCTTCACAGTAGAATAAACGTACAGGGCCATGACGGTGACGGGCACACGGCAGCCACGCTGGTGTCAGGCACGGATCACAGAGCAGAGCGAGCCGTGGAGACCAGGCACCCTGACCCCCAGCTGCAGGCCGGCTGCAGGTCGTACAGCAGGCGGGATGCTGACGAACCCCACGTCCTGCGCTGGCCTGCAGCACAGCGTGGGCCTCTCTCCCTCCTACCCTAGCAAGCCCCGTCCAGGCTCAGCTGAGAGAGCCCCGGGAGTTACCACCGCGAAGAGGCTGCAGCCTGGCCAGGTGGGCCGGCTCTGCGTGGGCAGAGGCTGGGAGGTGGTGGCTAAAGTTCCGGAGGGCCGGGTGGACGCCCGGGGACGCAGCTTCCTACTGCCAGGTCACGCTGGAGGAGGGGAACCACCTCTCTGGGTTTGCTTAGAGAACCTAAATCTTGGGAATCCAAATGCTTAGGAATTCTCAGCTGTCGAAGAGGTGGCTCTGCACCGTTTCCTGCCCCTGGTTCTCAGTGGAAGGACCGCAGCGTGGGTGCCCAACGATGGGCAGAGCCGTGCCAGCCCTGTCCCTGCACCCCGGGGATGGGGGACAGAAATCGAAATCGACACCACGGAGAGTGGGCGAGGGCAGAGCGCGGCTGCCCCTGCAGGCCCACCCAGCCCTGTGGCGAGCACTTCTTCCACGTTACTTCACACGCAGGAGCACCGCGGTGGGGAGGGGACTGTCCCTGCGCCGTGTCCACTCGGCACCTGGGTTGATGGATGGCAGCAGGTCTGGCCAGTCACCTAGCAGTTGTCATGGCAATGCAGCCCCACGCCGGGTGCACACGGGCTGTCCCTGTTTCCTGTCACCCTCGGCCCTGCGTGCTTGTGTCTGGCCACTCTGTACCCAGGGAGGTGACTGTGGTGAACACGGGCCAGCGTCATCCCCAAACTGACATTGGATAAGACGTCACCTTCCTCTCCCCGTCGGGGTCGGCTTCTTGGTTTCCTTCTCAGTCTCGGCACGACGGTTCTTGGCCGTGGCCCGTCTCGGCTCTCAGCCCGCCTCTGCGTGAGCGCAGTAACCTCTCTGTGTTGAGCTCTTTCGGGACGGCCAGTTTGTAGGCGTCTGTGATGCAGTCTGTCCATCTTCCCTGTTATTTCTTCACTGCTTTTATTTGGAAAGAGATTTTCAGTCCAGACATTAGAGACGCTCACCTAAGCCGGCATTCCCAATGCCCATGTTTTTAACACTTAACCCTGGTGGATCTGGGGTTTATTTTAGTGCAAGATGTGGAAAGAGACCCGAGTGCACCCACGTAATGGGCAGCCCCTTGGAAATTCAGACGTGCCCTCGTCTGACTTCTCGGCTTGCTGTGGCCTTCAGTTTGCGTCCCCAGCCCTGGGTCACGTTGTGGCCAATCCGCTCTTATTCCAGGGAGAGGTGAGTTCCACATCAACCCCAGAAGTGGCATTTCAGACCATCTTAGCTGGTGTCAAGGCCTGAGGTTTTCCCCATGTCATATCTCGGGGCATCATGGGGACAGGCTGATCACAGGGACAGGCAGATCACAGGGACTCCCGAGAAGAGGGGTGACTGAGACCTGTGGTCCCGTAGGCCCTTTCCCTGGTGGGACTGGGGCTCAGGGCCAGAAGCCTGGCCAGGTGCACTTGATGAGGTGTCCCTGAGGACATGGCCCTAGCCTAGGGGTGACAGAGCCCCGGGGGCCACGGCAGCCACCCCACCCCCACGTCCATGCGTGGCCAAGAGATTTTCCTTATTGAGCTCAACCTGATTTGACAGCAGCTGGTTACTTGGAGAGAGAGAGGGAGACGGGGAGGGAAAGAGAGGGGGTCACGGAGAGAGAGAGAGAGAGGGGGGGAGGAAGAGAGAGAGAGAGAGAGAGAGGTTCCTTGTCTTGTCCGGTGTCTCAGAGGGCCAGCCCGCCCCGCTGTGCCTCGCCCGCCCGCGGCTTCCCTGCCGCCCCCCTCGGTGCTGAGTCCCTGCGCCTTCACTTGTATCTCGGCTCGGCCTTTCTGTGCTGCTCCACACACCCGCTCTCTCCCGACTTTACCGGGCACCGTCGGCATCTGTTACTGCGTGGACAGGCAGGGGGAGCAGGCACGGCCTGTCCCTGGAGCGGAGTCTGCAGCCCTGTGTTTCCCACACAGCAGAAAGGCTGAGATAGCACAGAGAGTGGGGTGGGCGGGGGTGGGCAGGAGGGGCGAGCCGGGCAGGGGGCAAGGCCGGGCTGGGGGCTGGACAGGGGCTTTGCAGGGGCAAAGTCGGGCTAGAGACTGGACAGGGGCTGTGCGGGGACAAGGCCAGGCTGGAGGCTGGACAGGGGCTGTACAGGGACAAGGCCAGGCTGGAGACTGGACAGGGGCTGTGCAGGGGCAAGGCCGGGCTGGAGGCTAGACAGGGGCTGTGTGGGGACAAGGCCAGGGTTGGCGCCTGTACGGGGACAAGACCGGGCTGGAGGCTGGACAGGGGCTGTGTGGGGGCAAGGCTGGGCTGGGGGCTGGACGGGGCTGTGCCTGCAGCTCCCCAAGCCAGGCCGACTGCCCCCTCCACATCTCCCAGATCCCAGAGCTTCTGCCCCATCTTCCAGGTCACCCACAGAGAGAAAGCTGCCCTAACCCAGCTGGACCGTGGCACAGCAGTGACACAGCCGGGCCCTCCGGGAAGGACCTAGGGCCCCGGAACACACCAGCACATGTGACCCGGCCGGCAGAGGCTGGCCGTTAAGACCCTTTCGGGGGTGCTGTGTGTTTCTCTCCAACTCTCTCTCAGGAGAGATCAAAATACTGCCCTGACAGAAATGCAGAACGTGAATCACTAAGATGCTGGCCCACAGCGGGGGACGGGAAGGGAGTCCGTGGACACTCAGGGCCGGCTGGGTCTCTGACTCAGGGCCGGCTGCGTCTCTGAGCACGGCCCTGCCATTTCCCTTCATTCCCCTGCTCCTTCAGTTCTTTTTGCCTTTTTTCAAGAGAGGGTTTTTTTTATATGGTGCATGCGCTCACCAGAGAGACAGAGAGTGAGAACTCACCTCCGAGGGGATGGGGGAAGGCCATGCTGCAGTCCCTTTCCCTCTTGGGATTTTGGGCACACATACGCATGTGCCTGGCATGTTTTTCAAGCTGCCTGGCCTGGGACTTGAACCTTGGCCAGTCAATGGGAGGGATCTAGCTGCCTGAGTCACTGTGCCACCAGCTGGCCCAGGGCTTCTTCCTTCAGTTGAAGCATATTTAGGAATTGAACCATCTGGAAGTGTACAGGTCAGTGGCATTAGGTAACTATAACCAATATTATCCCGAACTTCCCCGTCATCCCAGATAGAAACCCAGGCCCGCTAAGCAGCGGCTGCTCACTGCCCTGCAGGCCCCGGTACCCAGGGCCCCACGTTCGTGTCCTCGGTGCCCTTGTACGTGCCGTGACCTTAGTTGCCTCTGTGAGCTCCCCACCTCCTTTAGGGTGATGTCTCTGAGGTTCGTCCGTGTGGTGGAGGTTCCGGAACCGCTCCTCTCTGGGCCGCTCACAGCCCCACGTGCGTGCACACGCATACCCCGCATTTTGTTTAGACGTCCATTGTTCTGTGGAGCCGGTGTCCTCCTTGAGCCGCTGCGAACGCGGTGGCAGCTGCCTACTGGCACCTCTGCCTTCGCGTCCCGGGCACTTCCTGAAAGCAGGCCTGCCAGTCACAGGAGGAGCTGCCACACTTCCGCAGCGGCTGCCCCGTTCACATTCCCTCCAGCAGTGCCCACGGCCCCAGTCACCTGGGAGGTATTTTCTTCGGAAACGTTTGTCCTCGGCCTCAGGAGCCTCCAGACCCAACCTGCACTTACAAGAAACACAGGGGGTAGGCCCTGGCATTTGATAGAAGGTGGACGAGCATGGAAGATGTGTTGCTGAGGGGAGCCAGTCAGGCTACGAAAGAGAGACACTGTATGTCTCCACTTAACATATCCCGACTGTCCGCACTCCACGGTGGAGACTGGAAGACGGGACATAAAGCAGTGGAAGTTGTCATGGACTCTGGGGGTAAAGTGGAAGGAGAGTGTGGGAGGGGAGGAGCAAAGGAAAGGAAATCCGGGGGGAAACGGAGAGGTCAGACACTTGTGGGACCCAGATAAGGCTTATTATCTGTTGACGGGGATGTGTCTAGTGGCCTCAACTGGGCTGGCCTGAGGTGTATATTACGCTGGGTGGAGTCTCTTCATAATCTAAATGATGTATAGTGATTTAATGTGTGAATAATAATTTAAAAATTAATTTTAAAAATGACCAAAAAAAAAAATAAAACCAGCTGAGCAACAGAAAACCCTGGAGCGTGGAATGTTCTGTAGGAAACGAGCCTGGACACACCAGAAAGTCCACCTTCATGCAAAGTAGAGCGCAGAGAACGGGGACGGCAATGGCCGATGCAGCGCGTGCCCTGGACTGGGTCGTCCGGAAAAGAGGGTTGTGAGTGGCGGGGGAGGGCGGGGGACACGGGAGGACCGTCGGTGTCCTGAGGTGCGACGCCCGTGAGCCATGTCAGCGGCCATCCACAGTCTTAGTCACGTGCAGATGCCGCTGAGTCAAGTGTCACAGTGGCCACTGGCTGCAGTTTCTTCCCTTTCTCTCTCTCTGTTTTGGTGAGAGAACGAGAGGGAGGGCGAGCGAATGGTCCCCACGTAGAGGACTGTCAGACTAGGAGTGGGACCCAGGTGACCGTTCTCTGCTCTCCCCCGTTGGCACGTTGGTCGTGAGGTCTGGGGCGACACTGACAAGCAGCGCCTGCCCTTGGTGCTCCACAGAGCGCAGCTTCTCCGTCTTGAAGCCCTGACTTTTCTTGCCGCAGTTCGGGACCGAGTGAGGTCGAAGATGGAGAGGGACATCCTGGCGGAAGTGAGCCACCCGTTCATCGTGAAGCTTCATTATGGTAAGCCAGCAGGGCAGCCACCGCGGGGGCCTGGGCGGCCTGCTCCCGGCCGCGGCTGGGAAATGGGCCAGGTCGGAGAGAAGGCCCCCCCTCGTGCTGCAGCCCCTCCGTGCGGGGACGGGTATCTCTTCCGCCCAGTCCCCTCTCTCCGTCGTATCTGTTCCCCAGAAGGAGCGAGGCGCTGTGTGTATCTCAGACACCCAGTCGGACGGCGCGCTCATCCTAAATCGTGCCTTGGGTGCCGTGGCCACAGGCCTGGCCCACAAATCTCTGAGCTCTCAGCGTGAGTGCTTTGTGATGGTGTCGGTTACCCCGGGATGGTAACACCTCCTACTTTAAGGGTGGTAGAGTTTCGAGCCCCCAAAGTCCTTCCATGGCCGGTTGCTACGTCCATGTTTGTGGCTCAGGGCAGATGAGTTCGGCCCGCACACGGCTTCCCTGAGCTCTCTCCTCTCGATCGGGGTAGCCATACGTGAAACCTTCCCGTTACAAACATGCCAGGACGGGGGGTCCGGAGGGGCTGTGCATACAGCGCGGAGAACAAGGCGGCACTGCCCGGTGGGCTCCAGGCTCCTCCATGTCTCCTCCTCTGCCCAACCCGTGCCATCCAGCAGCTTCGGCCGGCTTCCCCCGCCGTAGCTTCTGGTAGTCACTCCTCACTGCTCTGCTCGCATGAGGTCACCGCTTTCAGACCCAGGTAGGAGCGAGGTTTCTGAACAGCCGTCCGGCCTCACCCCTGTGCTCACAAGCTCCCCGTCTGCCCACCGAGCCCGCGGAGGAAAGGTTTAACCTGCAGTCAACCAATGTGGTCTGACACAGGCTTCCTAGTTGCAAGCGACTCACTGTTTTTGTTTTTGTTTTTGTTTTTGTTTTGTTTTGTTTTGTTTTTTTGGGGGGAAGGTTTTTGCTATAGGGCACGTGCGCTCACCAGAAAGACAGAGAGACAGGAACTGAGAAATCACCCCCCAAGTGGGATGGCCGTGCCGCAATCCCTTCTCCTCCATTCTCCTCTTGGGATCTTGAGTACGCACACACACGTGCCTGGCATGAGTTTAAGCCACCAGGTCTGGGTGGTCGATTACATGGGAGTCCAGCAACATAGCCATTACACTAACTGCTGGTCCTAGCAACTTAGTTTCGAAGCCCCGCGGTGTGTGTGGGTTCGGGCATTTACTTCCACAAAGAAGGAGTCATCTCGGATGTAGGATGTGAGGTGTCGGGGCTCCTCCGGCCATCCCTCCTGTGTTTATATGCCAGACGCAGAAGGCCCCGAGTAGGCTGAGCTGACCACGCAGGCACAGGGTGGGTGCTCTTGGCCCCTGGTGCGCCTGCTTCCCCTGACCAGGCATGCTGTGGCGGGGGTGGACAGAGCTAGTGTGGATCTGTGGGGAGCACATGGAGAGCTGGGCTGAGGGCTGACCGGTCCTCAGCTCTGCCATGAGGAGGTTGGGCCAGCCCCGTGCCCCACACACCTCCACCTCGCCCACTCATGACATACACCATGACAGAAGTCCACCTTGCAGAGGAGCCTGGGCTGTGGTGTGCCCGGTGCTCTCAACACTAGCGCCGTGATGGGAACAAGTTTGAAAGAAAAGGGAAACCCAGGCTCGCAGCACAGGTGACAGAGAGGCCGAGCTGTTGGCCAGGGTCCCGGTCCTGTGCCCCCTGCGGCCGGGCCCAGCTGCTCCAGTCGTGTCTCTGAGGTCTCAGCCTATGGCCGCGGGACTGTGTGAGCAGGGAGGCCCTGGGAGGAGGCCCTGTCATGACTACAGGGGACAGTAGCTGGTGGTGCCCGCACACTCCGAGCGGCCACCGCCCAGCTGAACACCCCTCTCTCCCCACAGCCTTTCAGACAGAGGGGAAGCTCTACCTGATCCTGGATTTCCTGCGGGGAGGGGACCTCTTCACCAGGCTCTCCAAAGAGGTAACCACCCCACTGGGAGCAGCCCGTCTGCCAGGACTCCAGGATGGAGGGTCGGGAGTGGCAAGGGGAGATGCATATGTGTATATGTGGTGTGTGTGTGCATGTAACACGTGCTGTGATGAGTTCTCATGTGCATGTGATGTGGCGTGTGTGTGTTGTGCATGGTGTGTGTGTGTGATATGGTACAGTATGATGTGTGCATGTGACCCAGTATGTGCATGTGATGTGGTGTGGTACATGCATTTGGTGCACTGTGCATGTATGTGTAGTGTAATCCGCACATGTGATGTATATGTATGATGTGGTAGGGTGTGGTGTGTGCAGTGATACAGTGCAGCGTAGTGTGTGCACATGTTGTATATGTGCTGTGTGTGTGTGATGTGTGCACACACCTCGTGCTATGTGTGCATGTGGTGTGTGTATGATGTATGATGTGCACGGTGTGTGCGTGATGTAGTATGCACAATTCTTGTGTGTATGTGTGTGTGATGCATGCATGGATGAGATGTCATGTGGTATGGTGTGTTCATGTGTGTGATGTGCACAGTATGTGTGTGAGAGAGATCTTGTGGTGTGTATGTGTGTGTTGTATGGATATGTGAGATTAGTTTGCTATGGTGTGTGTTGTGTGTACGTGTGTGATATGCACTGTGTGTGATGTGTGCACATATCCTGTATATGCGTGTGATGTATGGTATGCATGCATGAGATCAGTGTGGTATAGTGTGTGTGTGTTGTGTATGTGCTGTGCATACATGTGTGTGCTGGGCACCATGTGTGTGATGTGTGCACACATCTCATGCTGTGTATGTGTGATGTGTGCATGTGTGAGATCAGTGTGGCATGGTGTGTACACATGTGTATGTGCTGTGCGTACATGTGTGTGCTGTGTGCATGATGTCCGTGCAGCGTAGTATGTGCACATGTTGTGTATGTGCTGTGCATACGTGTGCTGTGTGTGTGATGTGTGCACACACCTCGTGCTGTGTATGTGTGGTGTGTGTGTGCGTGAGGTCAGTGCGGCGTGGTGTGTGCACATGTTGTGTATGTGCTGTGTGTACGTGTGCTCTTGGTGTGTGATATGTGCACACACCTCGTGCTGTGTATGTGTGGTGTGTGCGTACGTGAGGTCAGTGTGGCGTGGTGTGTGCACATGTTGTGTATGCGGTGTGTGTGTGTGATGTGTGCACACACCTCGTGCTGTGTATGTGTGGTGTGTGCGTACGTGAGGTCAGTGTGGCGTGGTGTGTGCACATGTTGTGTATGCGGTGTGTGTGTGTGATGTGTGCACACACCTCGTGCTGTGTATGTGTGGTGTGTGCGTACGTGAGGTCAGTGTGGCGTGGTGTGTGCACATGTTGTGTATGCGGTGTGTGTGTGTGATGTGTGCACACACCTCGTGCTGTGTATGTGTGGTGTGTGCGTACGTGAGGTCAGTGTGGCGTGGTGTGTGCACATGTTGTGTATGCGGTGTGTGTGTGTGATGTGTGCACACACCTCGTGCTGTGTATGTGTGGTGTGTGCGTACGTGAGGTCAGTGTGGCGTGGTGTGTGCACATGTTGTGTATGCGGTGTGTGTGCTGTGTGTGTGTGATGTGTGCACACTCCTCATGCTGTGTATGTGTGGTGTGGGTGTGCGTGAGGTCAGTGCGGCGTGGTGTGTGCCCATGTTGTGTATGTGCTGTGTGTGTGCGGTGTGTGTGTGATGTGTGCACACTCCTCATGCTGTGTATGTGTGGTGTGGGTGTGCGTGAGGTCAGTGCGGCGTGGTGTGTGCCCATGTTGTGTATGTGCTGTGTGTGTGCGGTGTGTGTGTGATGTGTGCACACTCCTCATGCTGTGTATGTGTGGTGTGGGTGTGCGTGAGGTCAGTGCGGCGTGGTGTGTGCCCATGTTGTGTATGTGCTGTGTGTGTGCGGTGTGTGTGTGATGTGTGCACACTCCTCATGCTGTGTATGTGTGGTGTGGGTGTGCGTGAGGTCAGTGCGGCGTGGTGTGTGCACATGCTGGCTGTCTGTAAAGAAGGCACACTTTGTGCACCAGTAAGAAATCTGCCGTCGAGAGCGCGGAGCAGCGCTGGCCCTTCGGCCCTCTCCTGGCACTCCCAGCCAGCGTAGCCCCTCTGCAAGCCCCGGCCACCGCCTAGAGGTAGTTCTTGCACACGGCTGTGTTTAGGAGTATCAGGTCGAGTCCCCACATACGTGTCTCCCTGCCCCTCAGCCACCGCCGGACCCTGGGGTTTACCCTTGACTACCCAGCTCCTTTCACAGAATGTTCCAGAACACAATTAGGATCGACTGTGGCCCTGACCTGCCCTGCAGAGCCCTCTACTCCGCAGGCTGGAAAGGCAGGGCCCGGCCATGATCGCACTGGGCTTTGTTCTGACGGCTCCACCTGACGTCTGTCCACACACACAGGATCAGAGGCCACAACCTGCCAGTGCAGCGCCAGAGAAGCCCTGCGCTAGGACGCGGCTTCCAGCGTGCGCGACTGTTCGGGGTTCCCTCTGCCCCCTCCCTCACTCCCACCTGCCTGCTCTTTGGCAGACCCCTCTCCCTTGCATAAAACCGCAAAGAGGGCAGGGGTGAAGCTGGAGCAGGAGCGGGTCCCCAGACCTGCAGGCCGCCCTCCCCTCCAGGTCCTGGTCCACGGGCATGCACAGTGAGTTCTCGGGTCCTCGCAGCCGCAGGGGAGGGGGGACGAGGCCCAGACCCTCGTTTACCGACAAGCCCTCCTGGGGCAGGTACCGGCCCCTCGGCATGCCGTGTGCACAGTGCCGACCCTGACAGCGGCTAGCTTCCCGCACAACCCACTGCCTGTCCTCCCGTCTGGTCGGCCCTCTGGACCAGAAAGGCCACACTCCTCGTGGTGGCAGTGTCTCCCTGAGAAGTCAGATGCGGTGGGTCCTCGGAGGCCACTCTCCCCTCACACCTGCTCCTCTCACGAGAGCCTTGCTCGGCATCCTCCCACACCGTGCCCCGCACTGACCGCTCTCAGAATTCACACCGAGGTGTTCTGCTGCTTGTCGTCCTCGGGGGCCACACTGAGATGTGCCTGAGCTGGGAGAGCAGGGGACCATGCTGCCCTGTCTGCAGTGTAGACAGCAGAGGGTCAGCCCCTCTGTGGACAGTCAGACATTCAGAAGGGCGGTCGCCGCCCGCAGTTTGCCGGGAGGAAGCAGCGACTGTGTTAGACAGTGCAGACAGGAGCAGCCGCCAGGCCCGGCGTTGCTGAGCATGGATTCCAGAACAGAGGGTCCAGCTAGGAGGGGCAGTCGGGCTGGGGCAGCCGTCAGTCTGGGCCCTGCTTAGAAGTCCTTCTGGCAGGGAGGATGCCCCAGCCGGGGTGCCTGGCGTCGCCCGCTGTTCTCTTCCCGACCCCCCTGGCCCCGCACTAAGCAGGCAGCCTCTGGTCACTGCTGACTTCTGCTGCTCTCAGGGAGAGTAGCTGGGCTGTAGGCTGCTGGTCTTCGCGATGCTGGTTTCTCACGGTAGATGTAAATACGGGGAGTGATAACAATGCGGCTTCCTACTGAGGCGACTAAAAAAGTATGTGCCGGTTCTAACAGCCGGGATGGGGCCGGCCATGCTGAGACGGTGTCACGGCCTTGCCCAGATTTCAGGCAGCCCGTGTCAGCGTGGACAGCCCCAGCCTAGAGAGCTCAGAGCAGTCACCTATACCACTCCTCTCCAGCCGGACTCCCTCGGCACGGAGCACCCTCCCAGGCCTGCAGCCGGCGTGCCGTGTTTGGCAGAACAACCCCGGCTTGGCTGGACAGGTTACCGAGGCCACAAGTTGGCATCTACCCAGAGAGGGAGAAAGAATGAGAATCCAGACCCGTTTGCAGTGGCTTCTTGAGCTGTCACAGTGAGGTTCAGTCGTGGGACAAGGGCGTGGTCCCCACAGAAGCGTCGAACTAGAACGTAAGCGGGAGTCGCCCAGGCTGCCGGCCCGGGGCAGGGGAAGGTGGACAGCCGTGTCTGCACTGGGCGGGCCGCCGGGTGGCGCACTCTTCTTCCCTGACGGTGAGCGGTCGAGAACGCGTTTGCCTGTGAGGGCCAGAAAAGCTCGGGGAGCCCCGACGAGCAAGAGCCACCGTGAGCCACATGCTCTGGGCTGAGCCGTGGGCTGCGGCGGGACTGGACAGCGCCCCTGTCTCTCCAGGTCATGTTCACCGAGGAGGACGTCAAGTTCTACCTGGCCGAGCTGGCCTTGGCGCTGGACCACCTCCACGGCCTGGGCGTCATCTACAGGGACCTGAAACCCGAGAAGTAAGTAGTTGGGGCCCCCGGGGCCGGCCCCCGTCGGCAGCTGCCGCTCAGTTACTTCTGAGTTCGCATCCCAACCCGGCTGGAGACACCTCTGCGCTGCCACAGCAGGGGCCAGTGTCACCTCTGCCCTGCACTGAGGGACCCGGCGGTGGGCGTGCTGTCTGTGTAGGAAATTCCTGGCCCCTCTCACCTGCTCCTCCCAGAACCCGGAGGGAGGCAGGCCTGGTGCACGGGAAAGCCTGGGCTGGTGGGCTGGTGGGCACAGGTGTTCCCTGCCCCTCGGAGGTGAGACTCCTGGGGCTAGGAGCGGAAGCTCTGCTTCCACGCTGCTTGTCTCTGGCTCCACTCGGGCCTGCAGGTCCGGGCAAGCCCTCTCCCCTCCTGTGCAGGTCCGGGCAAGCCCTCTCCCCTCCACGGCATCCCCAGGATGTGGTCCTTAGCCCTGCTGACCTAGCACTTTGGCACACTGGGGTTACAGGTCAGGGCAGCTCTCCCGAGACTTTTCCTGAGGGACTGCAGCCTCAGCACCCTTAGGCCACGCCCCTGGAGACCGCCCACACGTCCTTGGCCACCATAGCCGGTGACGTTCCTGCTCCTGGACACTTTGTAGTCTGGTCTCAGCTAAAACACGACAGGCCCCGGGGAGCAGGGCCCCACCCCGGGTCTCCTCCCCCTTACGCTCCGTGTGTGGCTGTCACACGTCACCTGGAAGTGAGCCACTCGAGATTTGGCCAGGTCCGGGGGGGCTGACCTAAGCAGCATCCCTGAGGTGTAGGAGGTATTGTCCTAGTCACTGTCACCGTCCCATGAAGCCAGTTAGTGCCACCAAGCGGAGCGTCCCCTGGTGGGCCGGCCAGCTTTGAGTACAAAAGGCAGCCCAGAGCCTCGAGCTGACCCCGCAGCCACGCCCACATCCCTGTGCTCTCACCTGCACTGACACGAAGCCTGAGCCGGGTCAGACATGGCTGTCATTTGTGGGACCTGGCTGGGCTTGCCCGGTGAGCGGGTTACTTATATACACGCATGATGTAAACCGCGTTTGCCTGCGTGTGTCCCGTGTGGCTCTAACTCAGCTGCTGCCTGGGGACGCCACGGCTGCACGTGAAGTGCGCAGCAAGTGAGCCCAGAGCCGTCCTTGCACCACTCACGCACAGGCGCGCCGGCCACGTCCCAGTTCCAAGCAGACTCCACCAACGTGCCCTCCGCGGCCCGAACCCAGGGCACTGTGGAGCCTGGCCCGGCTCCTGGGCCATCATGAAGGTCACCCCAGAAGTTGATCGGTTGAAGTTCACTATCCCTGGCCCCGGGGTCCGGACCCTGGACACCTTCACTGCCCCGGCGCCCAGCAGAGGCCTATGCGCTCAGAGCTCCCTCCGCTCTTGGGAAGGCAGGAAATGCTGTTCTCACTCTCCTGAGAGGTCAGAGTGATCCTGGCGGCCTAAACCACATCCATTACAGGGTTAAAGGGTTTTGTTGCTCAATTAGAATTCTTAGGGAATTAATCTTCCAGGTCACTGAATTCAGGGCAAAGATGGCGTGTGGCCGAAAAGCAGAGACAAAAGCATTTGCCTCTTCGGTTAGACCCTCGTCTCCGTGGCACACTACACCTTGCCCGTCCATCTCCTGAAGACAGCGGGTTTTCTCTCTAATCACACGACATGCTTTTAGTTGTGGTAGAGTGCACATTCTGTAGGGTCTGCCTTTGAACCTGGCGCACACGTACAGCCACAACCTGCAGCCGGTACACCTCCCCCTCACCCGCTCCATCCGCCCCGCAGCCCCGCCCTCCCACCGCTGTCCTGAATCCACCCGGCCCAGGGACCTCAGTGCGTGGAGTGGCGTGGCATCGCTTGTGCCCGGCTTGTCTCTCGGCGCAGTGTGGTCACGGTCTGCTGTGCTGTAATGTGGGTCAGGATTTTTAAAGATCGTCCGTACTGCCCGCAGGGCCTTGCATCCGGGGCTCTCCAGCCCAGCCTGGGTCTTTAGGTCTGGGCTGGTGGGACAGGATTTAATCACACCGTTAAAAGACAGGGACGGCCAGGCTGCGGTCTCTCCGATACCACAGCCCAGCTCCACCATCCTGCAGTGGCTGGAAGAAGGGGTTTATTTGCACACCCACCGTTTGCACACTCATCCCTGTTCTCGAAGGAGGACATGGTCTTCACTGTGGGGGGAAGGGCACCGTGAGCACTTGCACTTCAGGAGGCAGACGTCAGACCTGACCAGACAGCTTGGCAGGGGCCCAGTGACCCTCGGGTGGCCCGCTGGGACCATCTTACCTGAGACAGAGCCTGTGGGGCCCCGGAGCCAGGGCACGGGCTCGCAAAGGCTTCACTGAGGTCAGGGTCAGTCCCGAGACCCGGCCAGAGCTCAGGAAGAGGGTCTGGGAGAGGGGGTCTCTGGGCACCCAGGGCCTCCTGGGTACACGAAAACCCCTTCTAAGAGGCACCTGTTCTCCACGGAGGGGGTGGGGGCGATCGCGGCCCAAGACAGCCCCATTCTGCTCTCCCAGGTCAGAGCAGTCCCAGGCACGAGAGCACAGCGCCACCCCCAGCGCACAGCGAGGCCTGCAGGCTGACCTGGGGAGCAGCACTGGGAAACAGCAGTGGCCCGGCCAGCCTGCATGTGCTCGTCAGTCCCTGTCCCAGCCCTCTCCAGGCCTGTGCCGCGGCGGGCTGGCCTGAGTGTCCTCTTTC